TTTTTTTTTTTTTTTTTTGAGTTGGAGTCTCACTCTGTCGCCGATACTGGAGTGCAGTGGCATCCTTACAGCCACCACAGTCTCGACCAGCTGGGCTCAGGCAATGCTTCCGCCTCAGCCCTCCAGATAGCTGAAACTACAGGCACGTGCCACCATGCCCGCCTAATTTTTTGACTGATTGTAGAGACGAGATCTTGCCAAGTTGCCCAGGTTGGTCTCGAACCTTGGGCTCAGGCAGTCCTCTCACCTCAGCCTCCAAAGTGCTGGGATTATAGGAATGAGCCACTGCGCCTGGAAATTGCCCAGATTTTAATTTTAGTCAGTTATCAGGTTTTTGGTTTTTTGTTTTTCTTAGGAAACAGGGTCTCGCTATTTTGTCCAAGCTGTACTCAAACTCCTGGGCTCAAGCAGTCCCTCCTCTGTTAACTTCTGGAGTTGCTGGGATTATGGATGTGAGCTACTATGCCAGCCTAGGGGGGAAAAAAATTTTTTTTTTTTTGAGTCAGACTCTCACTCTGTTGCCCAGGGTAGTGTACAGTGGCACCCTCATACCCCCTAAGCCTTCCAAGTAACTGGAACCACAGGCATGTGCCACCAAGTCTGTCTAATTTTTTTTTTTAATTGTAGAGACAAGGTCTCTCCAAGTTGCCCAGGCTTGTCTGAAAACCCTGTATTCAAGCAGTCCTTTTGCCTCTGTCGCCCAAAGTGCTGGGATTATAGGTGTGAGCCACCACGCCTGGCAAGAAATTTTTTTTTTTTTAGTTGGAGTCTCACTGTGTCACCCAGTCTGGAGCGCGGAGGCATGTTCACGGCCACCGCAGCCTCAACCTGCTGTGTTCAGGTGATCTTTCCACCTCAGCCTTCAAAGCAGTTGGAACTACAGGCGTGTGGCAACATGCCTGGCTAATTTTTTGATTTATTGTGGAGATGAGGTCTCACCAAGTTGCCCAAGCTGCCCTTGGGCTCAGGTAGTCCTCTCACCTCGGCCTCCTAAAGTGCTGGGTTGGGAAATATTTTTTTAAAGATACCTATGATCAGGGAGGGATTCCTGGGGTTTTATGTTGACTTCAAGATGACTTTTTTTTTTTTTTTTTGAGTTGGAGTCTCACTCCGTCACCCAAATTAGAGTGCAGTGGCTGCTCCCGGCCACCGCAGCCTCAACCTGCTGGGCTCCGGCGATCCTTCCGCCTCAGCCTTCCAAGTAGCTGGAACTACAGGCGTGCGCTACCACGCCCAGCTAATTTTTTGATTTATTATAGAGATGAGGTCTCACCAAGTTGCCCAGACGGATCTCAAACCCGTGGGCTCAGGCAGTTCACTCACCTCAGCCTCCCAAGGCGCAGGATTACAGGCTGAGCTACCGAGCCCGGCTTTTTTTTTTTTTTGAGACAAGGTCTCATTCTGTTTCCCAGACTAGAGTGCAGTGGCACAATTAAGACTCAGTGTTTACTGTAGCCTCCAATTCCTGGGCTCAAGCACCCTCTCGCCTCAGCCACAAGCACCCTCTCACCTCAGCCACAACCTCCCCAGGAGCTGGGGTTACAGGTGGGAGCCACTGTGCTTAGCTGATTTTTAAAATTTTTTGTAAAGACAGGGTCTCACTTTATTGCCCAGGCTGGCCTCCAACTCCTGGACTCAAGTGATTCTTCTTCCTTAGCCTCCCAAAATACTAGGATTACAGGTGTGAGCCACACAGTTTCATTTTCAGCCTAGCTAGTATTGTCATGGGTTAAGAAAGATAAATTCGTTAGCAATATCACTTTATTAAGAATAACCTGATTATGATTTTTTTAAACTTAAGTGTAGTATTTGCATACGTGTCAACAGATTTACTTAGAGTTGTTTTCTTTTTAATTTTCAAGGAAAATATGTTATTATGTAAGTGCTAATTTGGTGAATGAGCAGACTTGTACACCAAAATCATTGCAAGATACATTTTTAGTCTTCACACACCTAAATAATGCTCTTAGATCAACATGGCCCTCTTCGCAGATCAGAAAACAATTGTTTTCATTGCTGTATTTTATAATATTTTGAAGTGAATTGCTACTTGAACATTTTATGTAATTCTTGTAACAGTTAGTAATTTTAATTATTCATGGACATTCCTAGTAAGTTTTAGTGCAGCATACTATACTGCACTAAATTATTTCACCTGCCTTTCCTTGCAGCTGATTGACAGTTCTCAAGTCTGATACTGCTCTTGGTGTTCTCTTAAAAAATATTTTCCCTGTAAATGTGAAAACTTTCTCCTTTTTTTTTTTTAATCATAGTTGTTGTAGCCTGGGACTATTACTGACAAGGTGAAAGCTGTTAAATTCTTTTTATTTTATTTTATTTTTTGAGTTGGAGCCTCACTCTGTCGTCCAGGCTGGACTCACAGCCACCTCAGCGTTGACCTGCTGGGCTCTGGCGATCCTTCCGCCTCAGCCTCCAAGTAGCCAGAACTACAGGTGCGCACTATACACCTGGCTAATTTTTGATTTATTGTAGAGACAAGGTCTTGCCAAGTTGCCCAGGATGGTCTCGAACCCATGGGCTCAGGCAGTCCACTCATCTCGGCCTTCCAAAGTGCTGGGATTACAGGCTGAGCCACCAAGCCGGACCAAAAGCTGTTAAATTCTTAGGCAGGGTTTAGAGCTTAAAGTAGAAGTTGAATGACTGGCCTGTCAGTCCCTAACTCTTTGTTAATTGTTCGTAAGCACAGGGATTAAACACTTACATGATTAGTTCATGTTCAGGAATTTTTATGTAAAATGTCATTGAGTCCCAGAAAGGTTTTGGGGAAAAGCAGTGTTAGTGATCAGATAAATTTGGGCGACCACATAGATTGTAACTTCGAATATTTAATTATATTCTTTCTTATATACTAGTTTTACTTATATTAAAAATGTGACAAAGTCTTAGAAACATACTTTTATTCTCCTGGGTGGTAGTCTCGGTTTACATCTCTGGTCTGAAAGCTCTGAAAATGTAATGTTATTCAGCAGTATTTTTGCCCTTGTATTTTGCCCTTGATAGAGAAAAAAAATTACTTGTCTCCTAGATATAGAGTTAATATGCAGTTATTTTCCTGACACTTTTGAAAACAATAACGACAAAAGCCTTCTCTTGGTAAACTGGTCTTTGACTAACCATTCCTTAGTCTCCTTATTCTATCCTTCTGAGTTCCTGTTAGTGCTTCTCCTTATCATTGTTGCCTTCTCCTTGTCCTTGTTGCTTTTGTTCTTGTGAAAGGTGTGACAGCTTCTGTGGCTTATGCATTTGTCTTAGTTGCTGCTTTATGTAGTCTACATTTTGATGGTGGTTTTATCTTTCTGAATAATAACTAATCAAGTCATCTGTCACTTAGTTATAAATTTTATAGTTTTTTTCCCCTTTGGATGTATTTTAAATTTAGATGTTTTAGTTTAGTTTTGTTTCTGTTTATCTTCACACCAGGTCTTTTCTGTGCTTTAGGTTGACTCTTCACCACACTGAAATCATTAGGAAAAATCCTTGTGGTTAACAGCAGAGGCTTCAGAGTGTAACCTGTACTCGGGCCTAGAAATTATTTTAAATGGCGACTGATACGTCTCAAGGTGAACTCATCCATCCTAAGGCACTCCCACTTATAGTAGGAGCTCAACTGATCCACGCGGACAAGTTAGGTGAGGTAGGGGCTGACGCATTCTTGAAGCTCACTCTTGGATCAATCCCTGACTTCAGGCCCTGCTGGGTTCTTCTTGGTTACATGCTCATTTCCCTACTTTGGGGAGTCTAGTCTGTGAATCTGACACAAATCAAATAGATACAAAGTTCTTTTCATCTTCCCTTTCCCCTCAGAGAAAACCTCCCACTTTCTAAATTTATACTAAATCAACTATAATTACTTACTTCCATTTGAAACCCAAGCTAAAATACTTTGAAAAGTATTTCTTAAAAATCACATTTCACTTCAAAAAAACTTGTTAAGAATAATTTACATCAGATCCTGGAGTCGACTTGAAGAATTCTCCTACATCTTCTGACACCCAGTTAGGCCGCGAGAGAAAAGAAAATTTGTTATATGCATGTTTGATTATGGCCATCTCTTTCCTTAGAAGGTAGAAGATAGCACCATGCCAATCCGTCGAGCTGTGAAATCTACTCGAGAAACTCCTCCCAAAAGCAAACTTGCTGAAGGAGAGGAAGAAAAGCCAGGTAAAGTAAAACAGTGGTACAACCTAAAAAGGCAAAGATTTTTATTTTCATTTGAAGTTTCCCATAAACTTGTTTGAATTTCATCATTCATTTTTCATGGCTAAGTGTTTTGGGGGAACATTTAAAGAGAGAATCAGTAGCTATTGGTATGTCATTGCCAGACCATTTGAGCAAAGTAAGATTTTATCTTGTCTTTAAAGATTTTTTGGAAAGTAAAAATGTCATGTTCTTGGAATTAAAAACAAAAACAACCAGGAACAGTGGCTCACGCCTGCAATCTCAGGAGTTTGGGAGATGGAGTTGAGAGGATTAACTGAGTCCAAGGGTTCGAGACCAGCCTGGGCAACTTGATGAGACCTTTTCTCTATAATAAATCAAAAAATTAGCTAGGTGTGGTGGCGTGCACCTGTAGTTCCAGCTATTTGGAAGACTGAGGTGGAAGGATCTGAGTCCAGCAGGTCGAGGCTATGGTGGCCATGAGCTTGCCACTGTACTCCAGCCTGGGCAACAGAGTGAAACTCCGACTCAAAAAGAAAACAGAATAATGAACCGGGCGTGGTGGCGCGCGCCTGTAGTACCAGCTACTTGGAAGGCTGAGGTGGAAGGATCGCCGGAACCCAGCAGGTCGAGGCTGCAGTAGCCGGGAGCGGCCACTGTACTACAGTCTGGGTGACAGAGTGAGACTCCAACTCAAAAAAAAACCAGAACAGAAAAACGGTTGAGGAGGACAGGAGTAGTCAAAGAGCAGCATCCTGGACATACAGTGTTGTGGGAATGAAGGCATTGTGGAAGAATGGAAAATTTGGGCCTTCGGGATGGACAGTGAAAGGTTCATCCAGAAATCATGAGTAGAAAGAAATCAATGTGTAGAGTACTAGCTAGTGTTCCTTTGAGACATCTATAATACATCTCTTTGCCTTTTCCCTTTCTTATGACCTTTTTCTTTCTTTCCATATCCTTTTTCTTTCTTCCTTTCTCCCCTGGCTTTTATGTTAGATTTACTGGGGACAAGTATGCTGGCTGTCCCTGTCATGGCTGTTAGACCAAATATTTGCCGACCAGCATACACTAGGAATAAAAAATATATACACCTTCGTTTTTTTTTTTTTATACCTTGATGCACCAGGGCAAATGTCAGTAACCAGTCAATATACTCTTTTCTGGCCAAGCTTGGATTTTGTCTCAAAATCCTTAGATGAGTGCTATAAGCAATTTGAGTGCCCTAGCATAAGGCAGTTAGGAAACATGGAAATTGGAATATTAAAAAGAGTAACTCATGATGGTAAGTTGAGAATGGATTATCTTTCCAGCACTGGGAAAAGCCACTTGGTGGTCCGTTTTAATCCACGTTTATTTAACAACCAGCTAAAGCCACTAAATCACTAACAGCATCGGTTTTCAGAATATATATCAGAAGGTTGAGATGTAAAGTATTAGAAAGGTCAATCAAGAATTCATAAAGGAACAGTGTCACTTCACAAGTTGTATGTTTGTTTAATCTTCTCTCTGCCTTATTTTGTATATAGAAATAATTAGACTTCACTTGCATTTTAAACTTTGTAAAGCCTGCATTTCACACAGAGGCAGACACAGTCGTTTCATAAGTTGAAAACAATGTCTTATACAAAATGCATGCTCAATATCTGTTGAGTGAGTGAACCTTTATTAAGCCATAACCCTTAAGCAGTTACTCTTGAGAAGAGAAAATAATATAAACTTAAGTTTATAGGTTTTATTACAGTAAAACCTAGTAAATGGTTCTTAGCTTTTCATCCTTTTTAGAATAAGACAATATGTAAGTACGATTAACTAATAGTAAATTCTTACCTCTGCAGCCAATTAAGTCAAATTGTTAGGGTGGGGCAGTAAAAGATACATTATAATGAAAAATGCACTGTGGAAAACCTAAATGCAGTTGTTATCTGTATCTTCGGATACTGTTATAATCAGGTTCTGTCTTTCATACTTTCTGATGCTAAGCATGTGGGAAACAATTCTAGAAGTAGCAGAGAAGGTCAAAGAAGGACAGGAATTGCTCAATATAAGTGCTGGCCTACAGGCTTCCCTTAAAGCATTTTATATAATCTTCATAATAACTCTTTGAGGTAAGGAAACGGACACGCACGTGTAAAAGAACTTGCCATAAGGTCAGCAAGCAAGAAAGTTATAAAGACTGAACTTGAATCCAGGTGTGTCTGACTCTAAAACCTTAATTTTACCTGAATAGATATGGGAGGAGTTTGGACTAGTCTAGTCTATGCAAGCCTACTTGAAGGGTGTAATCTAGGACAGGCTGCGTAAATGATAGTTGACTGTTCTGAGATGTATGGTTTAGAATTTTAATTTGTGGAGAAACTAGAAATTCTTATAGAATTCTATTTATGTGGTTTGGTTATAAGAAAGAAGTGACTTAAAAATTCTCTTTGTTTATGAGAAGGCCACAAAGATGTCCTCATCATTATTCCAGTAATAAATTCACATAATTTAAATGATCAGATTCTTCCAACTTTTTTTTTTATTATTCATTTCCTGATTTTTGCCACTGGAGTCCTTTTCCTTGAAGTTCCTGCATAACCAGTACATGGCGTTGCTCTGTATTTTATAGTAGCTGCTCAAAGAGACATTCTGTAAAGAAAAAGCCCAAGTACGTTCCTCCTCTCATACTCTTTTCTTTCTTTCTTTTTTTTTGAGTTGGGGCCTTAACTCTGTCACCCAGGCTGGAGTGCCACCCCAGTGTCGACCTGCTGGGCTCCGGCAATCCTTCTGCCTCACCCTTCCAAGTAGCCGGAACTACAGGCGTGCGCTACCACACCTGGCTAATTTTTTATTGTAGAGAGGTGGTTTTGCCAAGTTGCCCAGGCTGTTTTCGAACCCGTGGACTCGAGTATTCCACTCACTTAGGCCTCTCAAAAGTGTTGGGATTACAGGCTAAGCCACCGAACCTGGCCCTCTCATACTCTTCTTGTCCCAGTCTTTCCACTTGGAAAATACATGCAAACTTTGTATTACCTAGTCTAAGATTTGTTTGTTAAATTATAAAATGGCTAGTTTCTTAAATTATGAATCTCATTAATATTACAGAGTAGAATAAAAAGATTTGGGATAAAATGAGTTTCCTTTATTTTTTAATTTTCTGGTTCATCTTTTCCCACATAATAGTCTGGATAAACAACCACTTGAATAGACAACTTGAGTGACGTAAAGACTATAAGAAAACTGCATTCATAGTTATTCATTTTAGGATTCATCTATTAATTGGAACATTTGACTGGTCTGTTTAATAAGATAAGCTTTTACCCTTTTATTGACTCAGGTTTTAATGTATCTACTTGATGCAATTCTGCTCACCTGATTTTTTAGAACCAGACATTAGTTCAGAGGAATCTGTCTCCACTGTAGAAGAACAAGAGAATGAAACTCCACCTGCTACATCTAGTGAGGCAGAGCAGCCAAAGGGGGAACCTGAGAATGAAGAGAAAGAAGAAAACAAGTCTTCTGAGGAAACCAAAAAGGAGTAAGGAGTTACACCTTCTTGCTATTTATAAAGACTGTGTAAAAGGACTGGAGATCAGATTGTTTGAAAGTGTTACAACATTGGTTTGTGCTAGATATTTAAGTGTTCCTTTTTAGAATTACCATTTGAAATAGATCTATTTTAGTTATATGGCTCATTAGAATTTGTAATAGTTAGCAGAACAGTGGTTTGAATAACCCAAAAGTCTTTCTTTTTGACTTTGGAGTGTGTTTTTGAACTTAGAATTAATTATAGGAGTGTCTGCTATTTTTAAGCATTAACAAAGTGTCAATAAGAAATGAAACATGCCGGGCTCTGTGGTTCACTCAGCCTGTAATCCCGCGCTTTGGGAGGCTGAGGTAGAGTGGATTGCCTGAGCCCACGGGTTCGAGACACGCCTGGGCAACTTGGCAAGACCTCATCTCTACAATAAATCAAAAAATTAGCCGGGTGTAGTAGCGCGCGCCTGTAGTTCCAGCTACTTGGAAGGCTGAAGCAGAAGGATCGCCGGAGCCCAGCAGGTCAAGGCCGGCCACTGCACTCCAGTCTGGGTGACAGAGTGAGACTCCAACTCAAAAAAAAAAAAAAAGAAATGAAACGTAACTATAGAAAAATCAGACCTTTTCTACCTCTGTGCCTAGAGTGAGTGGTTTTTATGTGCCTAAGTTAGAAGACATTATTCTGTATCAAGATACCACTAGAGTGACCTTAAACTTTCTATATGTTTGATGAAGTATTCAATTGGAGGTAATTTTGAGAATCTAAAAACAGAATTTACTATTAATAATCTGTATCTGCACAAGGTGGTGGCAGTTATTTTTTAATTTTAAAATTTTTGCAGGAGAACTGGTAGCATTCATTCCACTCATTTCATAATTGGTCTGACAGTTAGACATTTATTTATTTATTTATTTATTTTTATTTATTTATTTTTTTGATGTTGGGATCTCATTCTGTTACCCAGGCTAGAGTGCAGGAGCACGAGCATAGCTCACTGCAGTCTTGACCTCCTGGGCTCAGGTGATCTGATCCTTTTACCTCAGCCTCTAGAGTAGCTGGTACTATAGGTGTGCACCACCACACTCAACTAATTTTTTATTTTTCATAGAGATACGGTCTTGCTATGTTTCCCAGGTCTTGAACTTCTGGGCTCAAGCAATCCTCCCACCTCAGCCTCCCAAAGTGCTAGGATTGCAGATGTGCACCACCATACCCAGCTGAAATTAGTTTGTAAATACAGTCATGCATTGTTCAGTAATAGGGATGCATTCTGAGAAATCAGTCATTTGGCGGTTTCATTCTTGTGTGAACATCGTAGAGTGTACTTGCTCAAACCGGTATAACCTATTACTTCTAGGCTACAAACGTATACCGCATTTTACTGTACTGAATACTGTAGACAGTTGTAACACAATGATAAGTTTTTTGTGTATCTAAACACAGAAAAGGTACGATAAAAATACAGTATGAATGATTAAAAAAATGGTATACCTATATAAGGCATTTAACTATGAATGTAGCTTGCGGTTATTCTGAGTGAGTCAGTGAGTGAGTGCTGAGTGAATGTGAAGCTCTAGGACACTGCTATAACTGTTGATGGGAATACAGGCTAGTTCAGCCTCTATGGAAAGCAGTGTGGCAATTCCCAAAAGAACAAAAATTGACCTTTCTTACAATCCAGCAATACCTCTCCTGGGAATATACCTGAAGGAACATAAATCATTCTACCAAAAAGATACCTGCACACGCATGTTTATAGCTGCACTGTTCACAATAGCAAAAACATGGAATCAATCCTACTGCCCATCAAAAGTGGACTGGATAAAGAAAATGTGATACATATACATGATGGAGTATTATGCAGCCATAAAGAAGAACAAAATCATGGAATTCACAGCAAGTTGGATAGAGTTGGAGACCATGATACTTAATGATGTATCACAGAAACAAAGAACTGAATACTGAATGTTCTCACTCACAAGTGGGATCTGAGCATTATTCACACTAGCACAAGGGAGGGACTGGCAGTCGCTGGACACTGCCAGGGGATAGGGGAGCATGTAGTATCACAAAGGGTACCTGGTCCTAAACCAGGAGAAGTGAGGAACAGCTAGAGATCTTCACCTGCATACAGCCTGCTTGTGTAGCAAATCCTGACTTGTACGCCACATATCTATAATAAAATAAAGACTTCATACCATACACTTAGGCTACACTCAATTTATAAAAAGATATTTTTCTTCAGTAAGAGTTAACCTTAGCTTACTATAACATTTTACTTTACAAACTTTAACATTTTAAAAAACTTTTTGACACTTTTTATTCTTTAGTGCACTTAGCTTAAAATACAAACATTGACAACCCCTTTAGGTTCCCTCCCACTGCGGGAGCTTTTCTGTCCTCTCAATAAATTCTTCTTTTAAGAAAAACAAACATTGTACAGCTGTGCATGAAAATTTTCTTTATATCCTTATTCTGGGAGATTTTTCTATTTTTAAATTTTTTTGTTTAAAACAAACACAAAAGCTGGGTGTGGTCATGTGTGCTTGTAGTCCCAGCTACTTGGGAAACTGAAGTGGGAAGATCGCTTAAGCCTAGGAGTTCCAAATCCAGACTGGGCAACATAACAAGGCCTTGTCTCAATAAAAAAAAGAAACAAACTGAATCCTAAGATACAAACACATGTTACCCTAGGTCTGCTCATGGTCGGTTTCATCCTTTTCACTCACTCATAGATCTTTTCTCGTTGAAAGATCTTCAGGGGCAGTCACACATGTAGACCTATTATCTCCTATGCTGACAACCTTTCTTGTGGACTACGCCTGAAAGACCCACCAGAGGCTGTTTTACAGTTAATGGTTTTTTTTCCCCATGTAGAACAAGTATATACTTTAAAGTAATCATAAACAGTACAGTATAGCAAATGAATAAACCAGTAACATAGTTTGTTATCATTATCAAGTGTTGTTATGGACTGTATACAATTGTATGTCCTATACTTTTATAAGACTGGTAATACAGTAGATTTGTTTACACCAGCATCACCATAAACATTAAGTAACCTGTTGCCTTATGATGACTACGATGTCATCAGGCGATAGGAACTTTTCAACTCTGTGTTAATCTTATGGTCCGTCATTGACCAAAACATCATTATGAGACATATGATGTAAAATAATAGCTTAGTAATAACTATACCTTCCAGGTGTAATCTGAGGACTCCCTGAGGGGAATTTGTTATCCCAGTTTCATAAGTGTAAGTAAGGTCTGTGAAATTTTTAGCAGCTATCCTGTATTTTTTTTTTTGAGTTCAGGGTCTCTGTTGCCTAGGCTGGAGTGCCGTGGCACGGTCACAACTCACCGCAGCTTCAACCTCTTGGACTTAGGCAATCCTTCCACCTCAGCCTCCTGAGTAGCTAGGATTACAGGCATGTGCCACCGCGCCTGGCTAATTTTTTTATTTTATTTTTGTAGAGACGAGATCTCGCTGTGCTGCTTGGCTGATCTCAAACTCCTGGGTTCAAACAGTCCTTCCTCCTTGTGCTGGGATTATAGGCATGAGCCATCATGTTCTATATTTTAAATATAGAATGCATGTTTGGTACACAGAATGCTATTATCACCTAGAGTATAATTTAAATAATGCTCTGTGGCTCATAAAATTGTTTTGATAAACTTTTAATTCTTGGAACACCTTGTGAAGTAGTTGGTATTATATTACTGTTTCACATTGAGGCGACAAAGGCTCACATCATCAGATCATAGTGTTCAAGTGAAAACTTAAAGCTAGGTTTTCTGACTTGAGAACTTGAGTTTTTTCCACTATTCCCAGTTGCATTGGTTGTAGCTGTTAACTAGTATACATTTTAAAATTCTAATTTCTTTTATGTTCTGGGCTTTCATAGTGGTGCTAACTTACATCACTCTTCTCTCCTATACCTAAGAGGACACCATTTAGTACCCAATTTTTTAAAAATGTTTTTTGTAAAATTTTGTTTATTGTAATATCACCTTTATGTGTAAATAAAATATTGATTTCCCCCCCCCATCTTTTCCTTCCTTTCTGACTTTATACTTCTTTCTGGATTATCTTACATAATAATTATTCCTTGTTTTACAGGGAGAAAGATCAGTCTAAAGAAAAGGAGAAGAAAGTGAAAAAAACAATACCTTCGTGGGCTACTCTTTCTGCCAGTCAGCTAGCCAGGGCTCAAAAACAAACACCAATGGCTTCCTCCCCACGTCCCAAGATGGATGCAATCCTAACTGAAGCCATTAAGGCAAGTCTTTATTTCAAAACAATTCATCTTAGATTTGTTCCCTTCATCTTTTTCTTATCTGAAAGTAGCGTACTTTTGTTAAACATCACAAATCTTGCTCTCCTAAAAGAGAATTAAATAGAAAAAACTATTATGAGATTTATGGGTTTTTTTCTTTTTTTTTTTTTGAGTTGGAGTTTGACTTTGTCGCCCAAGCTGGAGTGCAGTGGCACGCTCACGTCTACCACAGCCTTGACCTGTTGGGCTTATGTGATCCTTCAGCCTCAGCCTTCCAAGTAGCTAGAACTATAGGCATGTGCCACCACGCCCAGCTAACTTTTTGATTTATTGTAGAGATGAGATCTCACCAGGTTGCCAAGGCTGGTCTCAAACCCATGGGCTCAGGCAATCCTTTTACCTCAGCCTCCCAAAATGCTGGGATTATAGGTGTGAGCCACCATGCCTGGGTAGGTTTATGTTTTTCTAATATAATTGTATCTGGTGAGCACTGTTGATTTTTTTTTTTTAATTCATATTTACTAGAGCAAGTATTTTTTTGTTTGTTTGTTTGTTTGTTTTTGAGTTGGAGTCTCACTCTGTCGCCCAGACTGGAGTGCAGTGGCCGCTCCTGGCCACCGCAGACTCGACATGCTGGGCTCCAGCGATCCTTCCGCCTCAGCCTTCCAAGTAGCAGGAATTACAGGCATGCACTACCACGCCCGGCTGATATTTTGCTTTATTGTAGAGATGAGGGCTCGCCAAGTTGCCCAGGCGGGTCTCGAACCCAGTCCTGAGGCAGTCCACTCACCTCAGCCTCCCAAAGGTGCGGGATTACAGGCTGAGCCACCGAGCCCAGCAGAGCAAGTATTTTTAACTTATCTTTAGAATTTTTCAGTTCAGTTTATTAAGTATAATTTTTATTTGAAGCTGAAAATGTGAATTCATTCAATAAACATTTAGTGACTGCCACTCTGCTGGTGATATAGAATAGACTAAGGCAAGGAGGGTTCTCTCCCTTATGAATTTGTGGCTCAGTAACCGAATAATATTGACAAATTATGTTTAAAAAATATTTTTAGTCTAGGCACAATGGTTCACACCTGTAATTTCAGCACTTTGGGAGGCCGAAGCTGGAAGATTGCTTGAGCCCAGGATTTTGACACCAGCCTAGGCAACATAACAAGACCTTGTCTCTACAAAAAATAAAAAAAAAAATAGCTGGGCGTGGTGGTGCATGCCTGTACTTGAGAGGCTGAGGCAAGAGGTTCACTTGAGCCTAGGAGTTTGAGGCTGTGGTGAGCCGTGATCGTGCCACTGCACTCCAGCCTGGGTAACAGACTGAGATCCTGACTCAAAAAAAAAAAAAAATCTTTAGTTTCATTTGTAAAGCTAAGGCCCTAATCTTGGTAGTGGTTATCTTTTTACGCCCTCTTATAAACCTGCTACTTTACTTTATCACCTAACCATTCCAAAATACTTAAAAAATTATTCTCCTTGTATAGCTTTATAAATTTGCTGTGGTTCATTAACTTTCATTAACTTATGTGATCATCAGGTATAGTTTTCTTATTTTAATTTTTAAAGTTTATTTTCTAATCTGACATTGCCATTATTATACAAATCGATCCTTTAATTTTACTTTGCTTATTTCACATAAATAAGATAGGCGTTAGAATCCTCTTTTCAGGAACCCTACTGCTAGGGTCTGAATCAGGATTTGGGAACAGAGGGATAAGAGAGAATTTTGAATAAGAAGGGTGTAACATAGAAAGGAGCAGCCAGCTGGGCGTAGTGGTTCACACCTGTAATCCCAGCACTTTGGGAGGCCTAGATGACAGGATTGTCCGAGCCCAGGGGTTCAAGACCAGCCTGGGCAACTTGACGAGACCTCATCTCTACAATAAATAAAAATGAACCAGGCATGGTGGCACATGCTTGTCATTCCAACTACTTAGAAGGCTGAGGCAGATGAATCACCTGAGCCCAGTAGTTCAAGGCTGCTGTGTCCCTGAGTGTACCACTGCACTCCAGCCTGGGCATCAGAGTGAGATTCTGACTTAAAAAACAACAAAAAAGCAGCCTAGTTGTCATTTCGAATTCGAAAAGATAGCACTGACATAAATTGGAAAAAGGTTTGCTTTCAGACTTCTCTCCACTTCTTGTAAACTTTATGCTCTCAACTCATTAAGAAAACTTGGTCTAGATAGCTTGACTGTATTGAGATCTGTATCCTTTGTTTAGCCTTTCCAAGTATTTCACTTGATGCCCACTCAGGCTGTATCTGAAGTAACAGGACTATAGTGAGGATGGAGAAGGATCCAAAATCTTAAAATAATGAAACAGAAGATTAAAACAACACAAGGGAGGGACCCAAGAATACCAGAATTATCTTTTGGAGTGTGAGCCTCTTGTAATACAGGCTTCCCCCGCTAGGTAATTGTTCTAGGAACCCATCAGCATCAGTGTACCAACTAGCATTGTGAGGCTGCATTCAGCTTCAGTGGATTTTTTTTTGGAGATTCTTTCAGCAATTTGCTCATTTCATGATAGATGATTTACGAGTACGCCTGCCCACACTGCTGAGTATTCAGCCGTTTTTGACCAAAAGTCATGTGACCCCTGTGCCTCACTTTTCCTTTTCACCCAGTCTCATCTTGAGTAGGGGACCCCAGCTGTCAGTGATAGATTTGTTCTGCTTTCCTCATTTTGATGCTAAATATAAAATAGAATTAAAATGGAAAGAGGCTTTCAATAACACACAGAGTGTTGTTTATGTGTCGTATGGGCTTTTGGAACAGTTTTTTTTTTTGAGTTGGAGTCTCACTCTGTCGCCCAGGCTGTAGTGCAGTAGCCTGCTCATGGCCACTGCAGCCTCGACCTGCTGGGCTTAGGTGATCCTTCCACCTCAGCCTTCCAAGTAGCTGGAACTACAGGCACATGAATTTTTTTGATTTATTGTAGAGATAAATCTTGGTTTATTGTAGAGATGAGATCTCGCCAAGTTGCCCAGGCTGGTCTCTAACCCGTGGGCTCAGGCAGTCCTCTCACTTTGGCTTCCCAAAGTGCTGGGATTATAGGTGTGAGCCACCACATCTGGCCTTGAAAAATGTTTAGCTATTACAGAAATATTTAGTAATTCTGTATTTCTCCATAGCTATTATGATGTTATCTGAAGTGCTGTTCATTTTTCCGTACCATTATTATCCATTATCAAGTTTACTTCCAAAATTATTTTGAAAATGTCAGTTTCTGTATCTAATAAAAAACAACTAATTTACAGTAACATGTATGGTTTGATAATTCTGTTTTCTAGGCATGTTTCCAGAAAAGTGGTGCATCAGTGGTTGCTATTCGAAAATATATCATCCATAAGTATCCTTCTTTGGAGCTGGAGAGAAGAGGCTATCTTCTTAAACAAGCTCTGAAAAGAGAATTAAATAGAGGAGTTATCAAACAGGTATCAAACAGTTTTTGGTAATAAGATCATTTCATGGAGTCCATACTTAGTAACATTTAGATTTTTTGTTTCTTTTTTGTTAAAAACAAGTTATATGATAAAATGCTTAAGCCTAACCTAGTTTTATTATCTGAGGCTAGATTTCAAATACATCTGTGCCTGTTGCCTTTATAGTTAGCTGTTCTTCTACAGAGCAGAAGCAGTATAATAGTGTAATTTTTTTCCTAGCTTATTATGTTCTTAATTGGATTTTCTTTGAGGGCTGCTTGTGCTTGAAATCACGTAACACTGTAGATGAGAACTAGGGTTAAGGAATCCTGCTGTTGCAACAACAAAAATGATCATTGCTTTTGTCTTAGATTTGTTAACTTTAAAGCCTAACTTATATGACTAGAAGTGTTACCATTATAAATTAGCTTTTTATAGAGACTCACCGTTTAACAGATAGGTATTTAAACTATTAAAACCTGTTAGAAGCATCAAAGAAGCCAGAGTGAATTGAGACTAGTAGTAGAACCAATATTGATTTCAGGCATAAATCTGTTTTACATAGTGCATGGAAGCATTGCTTAGAACTATAGAAATCTAAAGCTAGAATGGACTTTATCTGATCTTGCCCACTTCAGAGGTCTTGAGTGATGAAATAACTACCAGGGTCTCTTGGTAGTGGCAAAGATGGTTCTGAGAACTAATTCACTGAATTCCCAGAGTTTTGTTGCCTTTTTTTCTATACCTTTCTGCCCAGTTTGATTAGTGTAGAATTCTGTGCCACTCGGGCATTTAAACTCTGCTTAGGAACTTTCAACAAATACTTAATTTCACAGTATTATTGCGTGACTCTGGTATGGTTTTGAGTCTTCTTTGGGCAGGTGCTTGGGATGTTCTATTTAGTAAGACAGATTCCTGTTCTGTGGAGCTTATAGTCTAGCTTTCTCAAAATATTATAAAACTGATATTTAAATGGCCTTTCAAATGATAATTGAGTAAAAGGTCTTACCTAGCCAATATAATTATTAGAGACAAAGCCTCATCCTCTAACGTAGCATCAGCATATATAGTATCAGCATAGCTTATGAGATAACTTTGTGAAAATTTAGTTTGTGCCCTAGTTTTGCCTATGTGGGCAGACCCTTCAGTTTGATGCTTAAGCAACTGTTAATCACCTAAGAGCTTTCAGCCTGATTGCTACATTGATAGCAGTATGGGCAAACCTAAGTTGTGGAGGACTTTGATTATTGTGAATCAACCTTAAAGTTATATGCAAGTGCTTTGTAAACCGTGGAAATACATGTTAAGACTTACATATATCATCATGTGTAGTGCCTAAGAAATTATTAGATAACTTTTCCAATATACAGTAATAATCCGTAATTGGCAAACTAGAGCTATCTTCCGTCCAAAACGTGAAGCGTGTTCTCCTTTTCCCTAAGAGAGATTTTGTCCCTTTCTTCCATGGAGCATCTGTGGTGCTTCAGTTTTTTTTTTTTTTTGCTTTTTTTGAAAGGTCGTAGTAGGCTATTTAACCTACTATCATAGTAGCATTCTTCCTCAGTTTTGTAGATGAGAAAACAAGAGCTCAGAGGGTTAACCAGGTTGTCCTGTATTATTCAATAACAGCTCGTTGGGTATGTATTATAAATGCAGTTTCATACTAAGTCTCTTAACTCCTCATTCACTGTTCTTTTGTCTCTGAAATGTTAAACAGCACTTTACATTAGCTCTTACTTTACCATGCCCTGTAATTCCCTTAGTCTAGTGTAAAGTTATAAATATGAATACCAAAATAACTTAAAAATTAATTTTTTAACTTTAGAATTTTTATTCTAATTAGGTAAAAGGAAAAGGTGCTTCTGGAAGTTTTGTTGTGGTTCAGAAATCAAGAAAAACACCTCAGAAATCCAGAAACAGAAAGGTAAGAAATTGAGCACTTTGATATTATTATACTATTAAAAATACTTACTATTGAGTGTTTGCTGTGTGCCTGCCACAGTGCATAGTTCAGCCTTCCTGCTGAGACCTAGCGATGTTATAAGTAATTGCCCAGCTGATGAGTAGACTAGTTAGAGTGCACATCCGAGCACTCCAACCCTGTTAAGTCCATGGTCCTAATTGCCTTACATTGAATTATGGGCAGCTGTATGAATCATACTGCTTTTTGTGAAATATCTTTTAAACTAGAGGAGGTATATAAGTACCTTTTTGCCCAAAGAAGACTCAAAACCATATCCAGAGCCAATTTTTCTTCTGGTTTTTGTTGTTGTAAATACGCCCCTTTTCCCAAGGCATAAAATTCTATATGTGTAAAGTATTTCTCAATAATAAAACTAATTATCTAATATTTCATCTATGTCAGCAGTGGAAATAATGAGTATCTATACCTTTGTTTCTTCAGTTTTCAACATTTTTGTTCTTTTTTCATAGAATTTTATTTATTTATTTATTTTTGGTTTTTGAATATAAGTCTCACTCTGTTACCCAGGCTGGAGTGCAGTGGCAGGCTCACGACTACCGTAGCCTCGACCTGCTGGGCTTAGGCAATCCTTCCTCCTCGACCTTCCAAGTAGCTGGAACCACAGGTATGTGCCACCATGCCTGGCTAGTTTTTTTGATTTATTGTGGAGACACAGTCTCGCCGCATTGTTCAGGCTGGTTTCAAACCCCTGAGCTCAGGCAGTCCTCTTGCCTCTGCCTCCCAAAGGCCCGGGTGAACCACCAGGCCCGACTAGAATTTTCAAATACTTTCAAAATGAACTTCTGGCCAGGTGCAGTGACTCACACCCATAATCCACTTTGAGAGGTCAAGACAGAAGAATCACTTGAGCCCGGAAGTTTAAGACCTACAACATAGTGAGACCTCGTCTCTACAAAAAATACAAAGATTAGCTGGTCATGGTGGCATGTGCTTGTAGTCCCAGTTACTCGGGGGTCTGAGGCAGAAGGATCCCTTGAGTACAGGAGGAGGCTGCAGTGAGCCAGGACCATGCCACTGCACTCTAGCCTGGGAGACAGAATGAGACCTTGTCTCAAAAAAAAAATGAACTTCTAAGCAGTATTTTCTGGTGCTATACTTCATGCTTTTGTTATTGAAGGCTAAGAGTGAATTAAGACCTTTAAATAAAGTACATTCCGTTTTATTTTTACACACACACACACACACACACACACACACACACTTTAACTCTGCATTTTAATTTTCTTTTATCTCAAAGAAATTGCTGCAGAAGTGACTTTACACCACTGTGGATTTGTTTGACTATGGGAAAAAAATGACAGTTTTGTATTTGTCAGTCAACTGAGTAGACCCCTGAGTTATGTATAGGAGCATTTATATTCTGTAATAATCATAATTTATGGTATTACATTTTAGAAGAGAAGCTCTGCAGTGGATCCAGAACCACAAGTAAAATTGGAGGATGTCCTCCCACTGGCCTTTACTCGCCTTTGTGAACCTAAAGAAGCATCCTACAGTCTCATCAGAAAATATGTGTCTCAGTATTACCCTAAGCTTAGAGTGGACATCAGGTATGAGCCATCGACCTGGACTTTAACACATGGTGTGTTATTTCTTTACCCTCTTTGTCATGAGATAGGAGATACATTAGATATTCAAGAAGGATTACTTTTAGTTGAACTAGGAATAAAACCTTTCTTGTGGGTTTTATTTTTTTGTCCCATTATGTTTTCCTTTTCATTCCTTCATAATTTAATTTTTTTAAAAATCCAAACCATATATTCTAAGATCCTGATAGAGTAACTCTTTTCGTGTTGTCAGCTGTTAGAATATATAATATTGAACTCTATCTTCTCAGGTACTCATTTTTTTTACTTAGAATTATAGCAAAACATTAGCGAATTCAGGTGTTAATAACTTTTTATACAGAAATAGCATTTTTTAAAATCATTTCAGTATGTAATGTAAAATTTAGAGAGAATTTTGATAGTAATTTATTAGTAAAAATAGCCACTTAACATTTGTACTGAGCATTTAGGTTGTCACATTTGCTATGTTGTGGATTTATGCAGACATACTAATTTGTCTAAATTTATAATACACAGAGCTTGAGTTTTGTGTGTGTTTATATGAGACCTTTCTTTGTGATGACGTTTGGAAAATTGTATTTGATCCAGAGTTCTTTCTGCAGAAGACTACTGTTATGAATGCATGTTGTCCTGATATAGTTTAGTAACAGATTTTCTTATTACTGAGGCATGTTGCTGAAACTGCTGGGGTTTCAGTCTAGAAGGCACATTGTCAGAAAATCACTTATTGGTCATCAGAGTGCTCAACTGAAGAGTTAGTGAAATAGTGCAAAGAAGAGGAAATTATAGAAGTAGAAAATTTTAAAATAGAATTCTGATATTTTAATGCTTCTTATGCCCTAAATGTGATGGTAGTGGACAGACACAACTATGGATCAGAAATGCATTATTAATGCTTTTAAGATGGAAAGACATTTTATTTTTATCTCCTTTTGTTGTCTGCTTTTTTGGTGAATGGAGACCATGTCTTCTCCCAGTTTTTTTTTCTTTTCTTCTACTCTACTTTTAAGACAGCATGTTGCTGCAGATGTAACTTTACTGTATGTTTTTTGTTTGTTTTAGTTATCTAAGTTTATGATTCATACTCTATGGTTTTTGTTTGTTTTATTTAGACAGGGTCTCAATCTGTTGCCCAGGTTGGAATGTAGTGGCACCATTATAACTCACTGCAACCTCAGCTCCTGGGCTTTTCCTCCTGCCTCGGCCTCCTGAGTAGCTGGATCTACAGGCGTGTACCACGATGCTCAGCTAATTTTTTAAATTTTTTGTAGAGATGGGGTCTTGCAGTTTTGTCCTGGCTAGTCTCAAACTCCTGGGATCAAGTGATCCTCCCACCTTAACTTTCCAGAGTGCTGAGATTATAGGCATGAGTCACCACATTCATACTCTTTGTCTTCTGCAACATATTCTATCATCATCTTATGTTGAAACAAAATTTGCCTGATAATAGATGGGTTGTCAACCCAAAGGAGGCCTTTTCTTACTTCTTTTTTGAGTTGGAGTTTCACTCTGTCACCAGGCTGCAGTGCAGTGGCGTGCTTACAGCCACCACAACCTCGACCTGCTGAACTCAGGCAATCCTTCCACCTCAGCCTTCCAAGTAGCTGAAACCACAGACGTGCTACCATGCCCAGCTAATTTTTTGATTTATTGTAGAGAAGAGGTCTCACCCTGTTGCCCAAGCTGGTCTCAAACCCGTGGGCTCAGGCATTTTCTTGCCTCTGCCTTCCAAAGTGCTGAGATTACAGATGTGAGCCACTGCTCCCAGCTATGAAGACCTTTTCCAATTATGTTTTTAATTTTTCTTTTTCTGCTATGAGACCATATTGATTTTCTCTGTCTCTGGTTATAGTACAGTCCTGTCCTATACATGCTTAACATGAAAATTCAGGCATACTTGCTTGACCAAATAAAAGAGTAAGAAAAATATAGTTTTAAAGTCTGAGTTGTCTATACTTGCTGTGTACAATTTCTTCCCTTCGATTTTCTTTTAAAACCCACTTCTGTCACACTTTATCCTTACCACTTTACCTGAATACTGCTTCCTGTCAGCATCCACATTGCAAATTTCAGTGGCCAGTTTCTAGGCCCTTAACTTTCTTACTACCCTCAAAACTGACATTTGATGCAACTGATGACTTCCACCTGCTTGAAGCGTTTTCTTCACTTAACTTTCTGATTTTCTTCTAACCTTTTTACCTCCCCTTTCTCAGTTTCTGTGGTTTTCTGGTTCACCCCTTAATGTAAGGGTGCCCTCTGCGTTACTTACGCTTAGGCCTCTTGTCTTTTCTATACACACTCACTTGGTGATTCTTTCCATTTGCAAAGCTTTAAATACTTCTTTACACTATTCATTCACAATTATATGAATCTAGCCCATACCTCCCTCCTATCTCCAGACTCATATATACAGATGCCTGTTCAACATCACCACTGTGATGTCTGACTTAAATGTCCAAAACTGAACTTTTGATTCCTGTTCCCCTCCTCACAAAAAGTCCTGCACCTCCCACATTATCTCCATCTCAGTTAATGGAAATACCATTTTCATAGTTGTTAAAGTTACAAACCCTGACTTTGTGCTGGTTGCTTTATCACACACCTATATGTAATCTGTAAGCAATTACTTGGCTCTGTCTTTAAAGTATATCAATAAACAGACAGCTTCTCATCACCACTACTACACTCTCTTCCTAGCCACCGTCCTCTCCCCTGTGTTAGAACATAACCTCCTAACTGCTTTTTTTCATGCTCCCCTTTAGTATGTTCTTACCATCACAGTAAGAGTGAAACTTTTCAAAAATAGTCGTTAAATCATACCACCTTTCTATCCAAACCCTTCTGTGTCCTTCTAGTCCCCTCATAGTTAAAGCCAGTGTCTTTAAACAGCCTGTAAGGTACTATACATCAGGTGCAACTCTAACCTAAACTACTGCTTGTCCCTCCCTCACTGGCCTCAGCCTTTCCATTTGGTATTCCCTTTGCCTGCATGATTTTTCTTCCGTAATCCACTTTAGTGTTTTCTTTAAGTTTTTATTCTAATGCCTGTATTGACTGCTTTATTAGTAGTAGTAGTATTAGTTTGACTTATAAACAGCAGTAGTTTATTTCTCACAGTTCTAGAGACTGAAAATCTGAGATCAGGATGCCAGTGTAGTTAGGTTCTGAGAGGGCCTCCTGGGTTGCAGGCTGCTGTCTTGTATCTTCATGTGGCAGAAAGAGCCCATATTACTTGTTTAAATGCTTTATTTTGGAAACTTTCAAACATACAAAAAAGCAAGAACATAACCATTGTACTAATATCATTCTTAACAAAACTGCCAATTTCTGAACATTATAATTTGCAGTCCATATTTAAATGCCCCCAGTTTTCTCCAAAATGTTTTTGAGTCAGCACCCTAATATGCCCACACATTATTGTATTTGAGTGATAATGGTTAACTCAAATCTTGCCCCTTCTCCAAGTCTTTTGATCCCTACTTCTTTTTCTTCATAGCATTCATCATGTTGTAACATACTGCATATTTTAATTTGCTTTTTAAAAATTGCTTGTCTACCCATTTAGAATGTCAGATTCCTGAAGGCCAGTATTTTGATTAATATAGTTCATTATTGTTCCCCTAGAGACTAGCACACAGTATATGCTCAGTAAATATTAGCTGAATAAATTAATGGATGATGTCGGGGCAATTCTTTTGACCATTTCACTCAGGGAGCATATACCTTGTGTAAGATAAGACATATATTTCTGTTCCCATATACTGGAGGCTGTAGAGCATTGTGGTTTAGAGCATAGGCTTTGGAATCAGACCCCTTAGGTTTAAATCCTGATTCTGCCATTTTCTGCCTTTGTATCTTTGAATAGCTTACCTCCTTGTGTTTTGGTTTCCTTGTTGGTAAACAGTGTATGACTCTCATAGGGCTTAAATCTCTTAGTACATGTTAAGCACTTAGAACAGTCCTGGCATCTAGTTAAGTGCTCAACTGATTTTCTTATTAGTCTCGGGGTTCCAACTTGTTTCTGATGGTATGACTATCACACCATGCTAAATATGGTTCTAATGTGTAAATACATAGTTTTTTATAGAACACATAAGTCATCTTAATTTGATAACTAATTTTTTGCAACCCTATAGGAAGAATTGGGCATTTTGGGAATACATGGAGACTTTGGATTGGCCTTTAAGAAGATGTCTTTCAATATTGCTAGGGTGGACTGGGCGTGGTGACTCACACCTATAATCCCAGCACTTTGGGAGGCAGAGGTGAGAGGATTACCTGAGCCCACAGGTTCGAGACCAGCCTGGGCAACTTGGCGATACCTCGTCTCTACAATAAATAAAAAAATTAGCTGGGCATGGTGGTGCATGCCTGTAGTTGCAGCTATTTAGAAGGCTGAGGCAGAAGGATTGCCTGAGCCCAGCAGGTCAGGGCTGCGGTGGCCATGAGCATGCCTCTGCATTCTAGCCTGGGCGACAGAGTGAGACTCCAACTCAAATATTTATATATATATATATTGCTAGGGTAATTCTGTCATGTGGTATTAGAAATCAAATTTTTAAATCTAGTCCAAGTATAAGATGTAACTCATACTCTTTTTTTGGTTTTTCTCTTTCTACTCATACCAAGAAATGAACAGCCCAAGATTCAGTTTTATGTCCTATGTGTTTTCTCTAAACTTACTAATTTCTTTGGAGACCTCTTAGATTCTTAACAGTTTCAACTCTTTCTGAGTAATTTTCAGAGTCTCTTGATATTCTTGATTTCATCTATGCATTCCTTTTTTTTCATCCATGCATTTCTAACAGGCTAATGTTTACATTTTGCCTCAGAGAACTCCAGAGTTGGAGAGACTTTAAAGATACACATCCATTGCTTGATTACTCAATGTGGTCACTATTACGGTCTCATGGTAATAAATGTTGGGTTTTTGGAGTGCCCTGGCAATTTCAAAATTGGTTCTGTGTAACACATGGTTCTGTATATGCCAGTAATGTCTCAGTTTCTTTACTTGAAAAAAATTTTTACAGTACTACTGGTTACAGGATGCCAGCAATTTGTTATTACTTTTCTGACCATTTTAACAAAGCACTACGTATAATGGGAATCAGAACTTTAGAGTTGGGAATAATCCTGGATCTATTTCTTTAAATTTTTATTTCACTGTTACATTTATTACTTTTTTTGTTTTTCTCTGCAGGCCTCAGCTGTTGAAGAATGCTCTGCAGAGAGCAGTAGAGAGAGGCCAGTTAGAACAGATAACTGGCAAAGGTGCTTCGGGGACATTCCAGGTTAGAGACCAAAGGCTTGGGTGTAGAGACGTGATTCTCGAAGTTTTTGGTTTCAGGATCTCTTTATACCCTAAAAACTTATTGAGAACCCCAAAGAGCTTTTGTTTATGTGTTTATACCTGCCAGTATTTACTCTATTAGAAATTAAAACTGAGGAAAATATTTATTAATTTATTTTAAAATAGCAATAGTAAACTCTACATGTTAGCATAAATAATACATTTTTAAACAAAAATAACTTTTCCCTCTCAAGTTGTTTTAATAAGAAGAGAGGCACTGTTTACATTTTTACACATCTTTAATGTCTAGCTTAATAGAAGACAGCCAGTGTCTGTTCCAGTACATTTTGGGTTACGTATCTGAAGAAAATTTAATCCATGCAGAAATATAGTTAGAAAAGGGTGGGATATTTTAAGAAAACTTTCAGTTGGTTGTGGATATTATACCAAAACTTAATAAATGGTAGTTTATTTTTAACAGGTTTATTGATATGATTTACATACCATAAGATATGCTCATTTTAAGTGACAATTTATAATTCAGTTATTTTTAGCAAATTTACAGAGTCATACAATTATCATAATTCAGATTTAGGACTTTTTTTTTTTTAGTTCACAAAGCTAGTAAATGAAAATTTTAGGACATTTCTGTTACCCAAAAAAAGATCCCTTATGCCCAATTACAGTCACTCCCCATTCCCACCCTCAGCCTTAGGTAGTCTGCTAGACTACTTTGTCTCTCTAGATTTGCCTTTTCTGCACATTTACAGATGGAACCATGCAGTATGAGGTCGTGTGTTTGGCTTCTTTGACATAGCATAATGTTTTTTAATTTTATCCGTGTTATACCAGTACTTTGATTCTTTTTGATTGCCAAATAGTATTTCATCGTATGGATCTAACTATCCAATTATGAGTTGATGTACATTTGGATTGTTTCCACTTTTTAGCGAATTACAGATAACACTGCTTATGACATTTATATCCAAGTTTTTGTGTGGATGTGTGTTGTTGTTTTTTTTTAAAATATTTTTTATTATGATGTTGTGGGGTACAGTTAAGGGTTAGGCATACAATTACGTTTCATTCAGGCACCCTGTTGATAAGAGGTGTTTCCCTGTCCCCAGACAGACAGATATTTGCTACTGTTAATCCCATCTCTCCCCCCCATAGTTTCCTAGTACTGTCAGTCATTTTCTTATAGTATTACATTGGATACAAGGTCCATTATATGAGTGAGAACATGTGATACTCGGATCTTTGTTTCTGTGAGAGGTCACTCAGTATTATAGACTCTAGTTCCATCCAGGTTGCTGCAAAATTCATGATTTTGTTCTTTTTTATGGCTGCGTAGTATTCCATCGTGTATATGTACCACATTTTTTAAATTCAGTCCTCTTTTGATGGGCAGCATGGTTGCTTCCAGGTTCTTGCTATTGTGAACAACGCTGCGATAAGCATACGTGTGCAGGTATCTTTTTTATAGAGTGATTTGAGTTCTTCAGGATATATTCCTAGTAAGGGGATCGTGGGGTCATATGGGAGGTTGATATTTAGAGCTTTTAGGAATCGCCACACTACTTTCCGCAGAGGTTGCACTAGTTTACACTCCCACCAACAGTGTAGAAGTGTTCTCTTTTCGCCACAGCCTCTCCAGCAGCTGTTATTTTTTGAGTTGTTGGTAATTGCCATTGTGACTGGAGTTAGGTGGTATCTCAGTGTGGTTTTGATTTGCATCTCCCTAATGATTCGTGAGGTTGAACATTTCTTCATGTGTCTGTTGGCTGCTCGGATGTCTTCCTTTGTGAAATGTCTGTTCATATCTTTTGCCTATTTTATAATGGGGTTGTTTGGATGTGTGTTTTTAGGACCTGCTGGGTCATATGGTAAAGTGATGCTCTACGAAACTGGCAATGTGGCTGCACAATTTTACATTCCCACAAGCAACATATAGGTACAAGTTCTCCATTTCCTCATCAACATTTACTGTTCTCTTTTTTATTATAGCCATACTAGTGGATATGAAGTGGTATCTCATTGTGGTTTTGATCGACATGTCTGTAATGACTACTGGTGTTGAGCATCTTTTCATGTATTTAATGACCATTTGTTTATTTTCTTTGTCTATTCAAAACTTTTGTCCATTTTTCAAAAATGGGCTATTTGTTATAAGATTTATTTATTCTCGGTAAAAGTCCCTCATGCAAATATTTTTAGCTATTATGTGACTTTCTCACAGTAGTATCTTGAAACACAGTAACTTTGATGAAGTTTACTTGGCACTTAAAAAAATTGCTGGCTATGTGCAGTGGCTTATGTCTATAATCCCAGCACTTTGGGAGGGAGAAATAGGAGAATCACTTGAGCCCAGGAGTTCATAACCAGCCTGAGCAACAAAAGGGAGACCTCCATCTCTGTCTCTCTACCCCTGCACAGTTTTTTTTTTTTTTTAAGTAGTCAGGTTTGGTAGTGCATTCTTGTGGTCTCAGCTACCTGGGAGGCTGAGGCAGGAGGATTGCTTGAGCCCAGGAGTTTGAGGCTGCAGTGAGCTAGGATTGTACCACTGCACTGTATCCTGGACAACAGAGTGAGAGACCCTGTCTAATAAAAGAAAAAAGAAGAAGAAAATTTGTTTTCTTTAAAGAGTTTTATACTTTCTTTTATGAGTTTCATAGTTTTGACTCTTATATTTAAGTCTATGACCCCATACTAAGTTTTGTTTACTGTATGGCATGTGAATGTCCAGTTGTCCTGGCACTATTTATTGAAAAGACTATCCTTTCTTCATTGAATTACCTTGACACCTTATCAAAAACCAATAGACCATAAATATAAGGGCTTATTTCTAGACTCTTAATTCTGTTCCATTGGTTTATGAGTCTTTTATTCCAGTACCACACTTGTCTTGATGATTGTAGCTTTATAGTAAGTTTTGAAATTTGAAATTATAAGTCCTCTAATTTTTTCATTCATGGATTATTCTGGGTCCTGTGCATTTCCATACAAATTTTAGAATCTGCTTTTCAATTTCTGCAAAAAAACACACAAAAAAACATAAAACAGCTAGGAATTGGCAGGGATTACATTGAACCTATAAATAAATTTGGGGAATTACTCTCTTTACAGTGTTGAGTTTTCCAATCCATAAACACTGAATATCTCTTCATTTATTTAATTTCTCTCAGCAGTGTTTTGTAGTTTTCATTGTATGAGACTTGGCTTTCTTTTGTTTTTTGTGGGGGTTTTTGTTTTTGTTTTTGTTTTGAGTCTCACTGTTGCCTGCACTGGAGTGTGGTGGCTTATAGCCACTGCAGCTTCAACCTGCTGGGCTTAGGTGATCCTTCTGCCTCGCTCTTCCAAGTAGCTGGAACTACAGGCATACACCACCACGCCCAGCTAATTTTTTGATTTATTGTAGAGATGAGATCTCACCAGGTTGCCCAGGCTGGTCTCGAACTCTGAGCTCCGGCAATCCTCTTGCCTTTGCCTCCCATAGTTCTGGGATTACAGGTGTAAGCTACCGCGCTTGGCTGACTTTCTTTCATTAAATCTATTTCCAAATATTTTATTCTTTTTCCATGCCATAGCGAATGGTGAAACTGTTTTCTTACTTCTTATTTTCAGATTGTTCATGCTAGCCTATAGAAATAGAATCAATTTGACTGTTGATCTTACATCCTGCAACCATACTGAACTCATTTACCAGTGCTAGTAGATTTTTTTTGTGGATGCCTTATAATTTTCTACATAGAAGATCATTTGTAAAAAAATTTTTAAAAAAAGGCCATTTTATTTCTTCCCTTCCAATCTGAATTTCTTTTAACGTCTTTTTTCTTGCCTGATTGCTGTAGCTAGAACCACCAATAGAATGTTGAATAGAAGTAGTAAGAGCAGACATTCTTGCCTTGTTCCCCATCTTAAAGAGAAAGCATTCAGTCTCTCACCATTAAATTAGCTATAGATTTTCATAGATGCCTATTGTCAGGTTGAGAAAGTTCCCTTCATGTGTATTACTAATTTGTTGGGAATTTTTATCGTGAATAGAGCTGTTGGATTTGTCAAATGCTTTTTCTGCTTCTATTGAGATGATTGTGTGACCTGTGTTCTTTATTCTGTTAATATCATCTGTTATATTGATTGATTTTTGTGGTGATTTCTTAAAGGTTAGTTGCTATGTGGCACCTGAAACCGTATCAGTGAACTTCTGGTACTCTCTTTCCTTAAAATTCATTGGTATGTCTTGAACTTTCACTAGATCTTTTAACTATGCATTGATCATTTGGAAAATATTGGCTCTCTTGAGTTATGTAAATTTTCCAAATGTTGGCATTTCATCATATAATAACAACAAAAAAAATCACAATCATTTATATCAGCCACTGATCTCATAAAGCCAGTATTTAAGTATTGGGAAGATAACAAGAACAGGGTGATAGTCTTCCACAATTTAAATTTTCTCTTGAGGAAGTCTGAGGCAGAAGAATCACCTGAGCCCAACAGGTTGAGTCTGCGGTGGCAGTGTGCATGCTACTGCACTCCAGCCTGGGTTAGTGTGAGACTCTGATGAAAAATAAATAAGTTTTCTCTTGAAAGGTTGAATTTTATCATTGTGACATTAAATACTATTGCTTTTCTTGAAGTGACAGACTCATTTAATTCATTGTCAAAATACTGTCTACCCTCTACCCAAGTCTGAATAACCATAGTTTATCAGTTATTTCCTCGAGTAAAAAAAAGATATTCCAAGAAAAATACAGCTATTTCAGCTCACAACTCGATCGCGAGGATGCTTTTCCTGAAGACCATCATACCTCCACATGTAGCAGATACACTTTGTGTTCTCCCACTTTCACCTCACAAAATGTTAAAAAGATACACACTCAAGGGTTGAGATTTAATAAAATAATTTTTACTACTTTATCAAGGGCATTCATAAGTGATTTAGTACTTTAAGCCATAAGTGTATAGCGGTAAAGAAGACAGTACATTGTGTGACTTCGCCTTGATCTGTGGTAAGGTGGCAGCTGTTTTATCCACCATTGTTTCTGCAACATCAGTGCAAATGTCAATACTGTGAAAAAGGCAAATCACATCTTAATTTTTTTATAACAATGGTTTTAACCTTATGGATCCTCTGAAAGGCTCTCAGGAACTCCACAAGGTTGTGAACCTCTCTTTGAGAACCACTATTGTAGAGCATACCCAATTTTCTCTTTTTCCCTTTTGGTCCCCAGCCTTTCATCTTCAAAATGTACTATGTAATTTTCTGTTATATAACTACAGCTGACGCTTGAACAACACATACAACTTTTGACTCCCCAAATCTTAACTACTAATAGGCTACTATTGACCAGAAGCCTTACTGATAACATCAAGTCAACTAACTCATATTTTATAGTATGTTATATACTGTATTCTTACAGTAAAGTAAGCTACAGAAAAAAACATGTTATTAAGAAAATCATAAGAAAAAGCATCCTTCCTAGTCACTAAGTGGAAGTGGGTCATCATAAAGGACTTCATCCTTGTGTTTACATTGAGTAGGCTAAAGAGGAGGAGAGATTGGTCTTGTCTCTGCAGAGACACAAGAAAATCTACATATAAGTGAACCAGCACTCTTCAAACCTTGTTGTTCAAGGGTCAACTGTACTTCATTTTTCAGATTCAGAAAAAAGAAGTATTCTCAAATAAGAGTCTTAAGTTATTGGGAACATAACAGCTAACCTGCTTACTGGGGTGAATCTGTTAGTATCTTTGGGTTAGGTTGTCTACTGCTGTTTTGGGGTGCATGGGAAGGGTAATGGAGAAAATATCCACAGGAGGGTTGGGACTTCTCAGTTACGCTGAATACCTAGTGAATGGGAAGAGAAAGTCCCTAATCTGACAATTTATTGTAAAACATATCTGTGCTAATGCAGGAACTCCAACCCACCTGGTGCAGAGGAGTCTTGTCTTGACCTGCTTTGGGAGAGTGTTGTCTTGATGCTTTTCTCTTCCTCCTTGGAAAACAGCTGAAGAAATCAGGGGAGAAACCCCTGCTTGGCGGAAGCCTGATGGAATATGCAATCTTGTCTGCCATTGCTGCCATGAATGAGCCGAAGACCTGTTCTACCACTGCTCTGAAGAAATATGTCCTAGAGAACCACCCAGGGACCAATTCTAACTATCAAAGTAAGACTATCAAAGTGTGCATTTAACTGGGATTAGGGGAATTTTCTTTTGGAAAAAATCCTAGAAATCATGCTATTAATGTCAAAATAGGCTGGACATGGTGGCTTATACCTATAATCCTAGCACTTTGAGAGGCTGAGGCAGGAGGATCACTTGAAGCCAGGAGTTCGAGACCAGCTTGGACAACATAATTGAGATCTTGTCTCTACAGTGAAAAAAATTAGGTGAGCGTGGAGGTGCATACCTGTAGTCCCAGGTACTTAGGAGGCTGAGGCAAGAGGATTGCCTGAGCCTAGGAGGTCAAGGCTATGGTGAACCATGATTGTGCCACTATAGTCCAGCCTGGGTGACAGAGTGAGACCTTGGCTCAAATAAATAAATAGATGTCAAAATACTAACTACTGACTGCAAACCAAGAGGGAATAGCTTTACAAATTTAATATTTACAAAAAGAAAAACAATCAAAACATTCTCAATTTATAGTGTCTGCTGATCAGAGGTTGATTTTATTTTCACTCTGAAGATTTTTTCAGTATTTATTTTTATTGTAAGTTAGTAAAATCTCTAGATTCAGAACACCTCTCAATTACAGTATATTTTGACTACTTCTGAATATTTAGCAAAACATGTAATGTTACCTTGAAACCAAGCCAGGATTTTAGAATACTTATTACTTGTTGAGATCATTTCTTATTGACTTAAGCCCTATTAAAAAATACCTTATTTCAGTAATGTATCTTTACCTTAGGAGGTAGTAATTTGAGATTAGACACCGTGCCTTATCAGCATTATCACATGTGGACTGGTGAGATTGGATGATCTCTGAACTACTAGAATCAGCACAAAGATGTAGGGTGAGGAATGCAGAAATTTAAGTAACTAACAGTGAAAGCAAACTATATATTACTTTTAATAAAAAGATAATTTTGAAGTCTTAATAATTGACTTTTAACATATAAGCAATATGTTTTTTAACATTATGAAGAAATGGTTCCTGAGCATTTTCTTACCTAATTTGAAAATTGATACTTTTTATCTTTTCCTACTGTACATAGTATCCTTATATATGTATGTGTGTGTGTGTGCGCATATATATATATATATATATATATATATATATATATATGCACATGTTGACCATTTTAGACTATTTTATGATTTTTTTCTGTTGACCAAGTGTTTTAGAGAAGATGAATTAGGTTAACAACCTTTTCAGCTTCACTGAATTTTTTTTTTTGTGTTGAGGTCTCATTCTGTCACCCAGGCTGGAGCTGAGCTTAAGTGCTCCTTCTGCCTCAACCTTCGAAGTAGCTGGAACTACAGGCATGTGCCACCATGCCTGGCTAATTTTTCTTGATTTATTGTAGAGATGAGGTCTTGCCAAGTTGCCCAGGCTGTTATCAAACCTGTGGACTCAGACAGTCCTCTCACCTCAGTCTCTTAAAGTGCTGGAATTATAGGCGTGAGTCACCGTGCCTGGCCGACCAGTTTCACTGATTTTGTAGCTGTTTTCTAGCTACTGAATCAACATGAAATATATTTTTGACATATTTTTGTAAGAAAGATGAGAACCAAGGCCTTCAGGAGCCACAATATTGTCTTGTTACTGTTTCCTGATTTATGAGGAGTTGGTTCTGTTAGTCTTTATAAGATAGTCTGCTAGATGATTATCAATACCTGTAGGTACACAACAGATGTTTAAGTGAATGGAAGTAATGAGATATTTTATCTTAGGTCTGCTGTTAACCATGTGCTAAGTGAACATGGTTTAATTAACTACTAACTCTTCCGGGCTCCTATTTCCTCTTCTGTGAAATAAGGAATTTCAACAGTCTCTGATGTCTCTTTTCATATAATTTAATTCTTGCCAAATTTATGGGCACTAAATAAATGTTTAATGAATTAGTTAATACCTTTGACCACAGAAGAGTCATTTAGCACATGTCAGTTACTGTATGTTGACAGGACATTGAGTTGGTTGGCATTGCATTGTGGTTGAGGGAATTACCAAATCTGAATAGCTAGATAATTTTATTCATTCCTGAATTTTTTGTTCAGTGCATTTGCTGAAGAAAACCCTACAGAAATGTGAAAAGAATGGGTGGATGGAACAAATCTCTGGCAAAGGGTTCAGTGGCACCTTTCAGCTCTGTTTTCCCTATTACCCCAGGTAAGCACTCTGCCTGCAATAGGTCATTGTAAATTTAAAATCTGATCCTGGGTTACAGGATTAGTTTAACCTATTTTACCCTTATTACTGTTAGAGTTGTCCGTTCTTCCATATAAGAGGGAGATTGGTTCCAGGACCCCCTGCATACTCAAATCCACGTGTACTCCTGTCAATCCTTTAGAACCTGCATATCCAAAAAGTCAGCCCTCCACATATGCCAGTTTTGTATCCTGTGAATACTGTATTACAGTCTGCATTGGGATGAAAAAATCTTCATATAAGTGGACCCTCACAGTTCAAAACCATGTTGCTCAAAAGACAACTGTATTTGAAAATAAAGACTATTTAAGGCCAAAGTCTCAGCACTTTGGGAGGCTGAGGGGAGAGGTTTGCCTGTGCCCCGGGGTCCAAGACCAGCTGGGGCAACTTGTTGAGACCTAATCTCTATAATAAGTATTAAAAAAAAAATTTAGCTGGGCTTGGTGGCACATGCCTGTGTTTCCCACTACTTGAAAGCCAGAGGCAGAAGGATCATCTGAGCTCAGCAGGTAGAGGTTGTGACCGTGAGCATACCACTTACTACACCCTGGGCGACAGAGAGGGTCCAACTCAAAAAATTAAGACAAAGAAAGGAAAGACTGTTTAAGTCAGTATTTGGGAGCAAAAGGTTTTTATTATTATAACAACAGGAGAGTTTGACCTATCTCATTTGAGCTTACTGTTAGTCATTTGTTGCTGAAATTAGGCATTGAATTCTTTGAAATCCTTAGATGTCATTGGTCATTTTGGTGTTCATTCCCTTTTTATCATGTAAATGATGACAGAAAATTTAGTAGAGTATATGTAAGTGTTAATGGTCCAATACCAAGTGTGGAAAACAATGACTGTTTCCAGAAATCTTCTGCCTTCTTGCTGTAGAGACAGAGACACTTATTTGAAAATGTGTCTCTTGTATACAACTTTATTCATTGAAACAAAAAATGTATTGAGCATCGCCTATGGGCCAAGCATTGTTCTGTGCACTAGTGCTATAGTCTTATACTTTGATTTCCAGTGAAGTGCCCTGACTTGTATCACTAAGACCCTATTTTAGCAAGACTTAAGTGTAACTTTCTTATTCTTTGTGTACAAACGTGTTACTTGGCTGAATGCATACTGTAAGAATTTTTCAAACATTAAATTTAACTCTCAAAGCCACACACAATCATTGTTATAATTTGCCAGGCACAGTAGTATGATCCCAGCTACTCTGGAGGCTGAAGCGGGAGAATTGCTTGAGCCCAGGAGTTCAAGTCCAGCCTGAGCAACATAATGAGAGCTCATCTCACATATGTATGCTGACCTCAGTGGCTCACACCTGTAATCCCAGCACTTTGAGAGGCAGAGGCAAGAGGATTGCCAGAGCCCCATGGGTTTGAGACCAGCCTGGGCAATGTGGCGAGACCTTGTCTCTACAATAAATCAAAAAATTAGCCAGGCGTGGTGGCATGTGCCTGTGGTTCCAGCTTACTTGGAAGGCTGAGATGGAAGAATCACCTGAGCCCAGCAGCTTGAGGCTGCAGTGACCGTGAGCATGCCACTGTACTCCAGCATGGGTGACAGAGTGAGACTCAGTCTCAAAAATATATATACATTGTAATTTAAGAATGTAGTAATCAAAGGAATCAAGATTTCTAATGTTAAGGGCAAAGAAGAGTTAGGGGATCTTTGCTGAATTTTTCTCTAACTTTGAAGATATTTAAGCCTTTGAGGTCTCTTGCTGGTATCATGAGGGCAAAAAGTGTGTACTTCTATACAGACTGTTCATTGCTATGTACATATTGGCTAATACAGTGCCAGACACATGTCAAGTTTACATAATTGTATACTAAATAAATGTTTAAGAGTTGATTTTATTAAATGATGGGACGAAGGGAATAAGTTATGCTCTGGGACTTATAGATTATAACTTTGTGTGTTCATAATAGGCTAAATTGTAACCTGATGTATGTAACTTACCTTGACATTTTTGGAGGAGGGTAGGAAGAAGTGAGGAATGTCCATGGAATAATATCCAAGTTCACATTCTTTTCTTTTTTGAGTTGGAATCTCACTCTGTTGCTCAGGATGGAGTGTAGTGGCACCATCATGGTTCGCCATAAACTTCGACCTCTAGGACTCACTTTCTACCTCAGCCTCCCTAGTAGCCGAGACTACAGGCATGAACCAGCATGTCAGGCTAATTTTATTTTTTTGAGTCATAGTCTCACTCCGTCGCCCAGACTGGAGTGCAGTATCAAATGTTGGACTCAGGCAGTCCCTCTGCCTCAGCCTCCCAAGTAGCCGGAACTACAGGCATGCACTACCATGCTCGGCTAATTTTTTGATTTATTGTAGAGTCGAGGTCTTGTCAAGTCGCCCAGGCTGCTCTTGAACCCCGTGGGCTCAGATAGTCCCTTCACCTTGGCCTCCCAAAGTGCTGAGATCACAGGCTTGAGCCACTGCACCTGGCCCATGCTAATTTTTTTATTCTTTTATAGAGGTGAGGTTTCATTAATGTTGCATAGGCTAATCTTGAACTCATGGGCTTAAGCATTCCTCCTGCCTAAGCCTCCCAAAGTATTGGGATTGAAGGTGTGAGTTTCTGCACCCAGCAGTTCATATTATTTTCCTTGTCCTATATGGAACTTCTGTTTTACTTGTTCTTTTTCTGTTTTGTTTTAATGCCGAATCTTTTTTTTTTCCATAGCCCAGGAGTTCTGTTTCCAAAGAAAGAAGCAGATGATTCTAAAGATGAGGATGAAGATGAAGACGAAGATGAAGATGAAGAGTCGTCAGAAGAAGATTCTGAGGATGAAGAGCCACCACCTAAGAGAAGGTGTGGAAAATCCCTTCCTGTGGGGAGGATAATAAATAAGTTAGAGCTGAATTGGTGGTACTAATAGGAAGGGCTGAAGATAGAAAAATATTTTAACAACTCAAGATCCTTCTCAAGTTCTCTGTATAACATTTGGATTTCTCTTCTCCCTTGAAAATTCAAGGGCTCTGAACTTATGAAGCACTGTGAGTACATAATTTACTTTTTGGTCAAATCTATACATATGCATAGCTTAGTTATTCAAAGAAAAATAATTCCATATTTTCCTAGGAAAATCATCATGGAATTATGTGTAGACTTTTATGAATTGGTTGAATTCTTATACAACTTTAGTAAAACCTCTAGTAAAAAATTCAGTCATATTCCTGTTTTTAACATAGATGATGTCTTTGTATGCTATTTCTCTTTAGGACAAAGCATCTGGTTGTCTAAGCAAAGCGAATCTTCTGTACTAAGTGTGATTGCTTTTGCTCTCTGGTTCTCATAGGTTGCAGAAGAAAACTCCAGCCAGGTCCTCAGGGAAGGCTGTACCCATGAAACAGAGAGGGTCTAAGCCTGCACCTAAAGTCCCAGCTGCCCAGCGAGGGAAAGCCAGACCCCTCCCCAAGAAAGCCCCTCCTAAGGCCAAAACTCCTGCCAAGAAAGCCAGACCCTCGCCCTCAGTTATCAAGAAACCTAGTGGTGGCTCTTCAAAGAAGCCTGCAGCCAATGCAAGAAAGGAAGTAAAATTGCCTGGCAAGGGCAAATCCACCATGAAGAAGTCTTTCAAAGCGAAAAAGTAAATTTCATAGGAAAAAAGGGTATCATGATGAAATTCAAAATCTTATTTTCTAAGGTCAGTGTGCATTTGTTTTAGTTTTGATGCTTTTAAAATTACATGATTTTCCTCTCTCGGGAGGGAATATAAATACACCAGTGTAGGCATTTGTTAGCTTTAGGTGCTGTTCTTGGTGCCCTCCTTCTCCCTCATCATTTTAATTTCTGCAATAATCCCCGACTTTTCCTAAACTACGTAATCTATACTTGTCCTTTTTGCTTTCCCTACCCCCAACTCCCCCCCCCTTTTTTTTTAAGGTCAGCTTTGCCCTTTTTTTCCTTCCAGTTTTATCTAAGCAATTACAAAGATTTTTATATTTGTAGAAAGCATCAAGAACAGTATGCTGGTCAGGTGCTGGAAGTAAATAGGCAGTATAGCACTGACTGAGTTGTAAAGCCTCCTGCCTGAAGACTTCAGTTATAGTTATAATAATTCATCTTATTTATAAAAACCACTCCACTAACCCTTTCTCTCCAACTATAGAGAAACAGACGTCTTAGCTTTGGGAATAGGCCAAAACCAGTATGATCTCATTAGATTTTTAAGATGTATGACTCCTTTGGGCCACTTTTCACATTGATCAATTTCCAGGTATTTTTCACTGGCCCAGAGTATTGCATTCCCTACCAGCAAGCACAAGTTCTCTATACCACTTGGTTTTTGACTGAAGGGGAAGTATAGAAATATATTGAATCTGTGATTTCTGGTATCACCTGTGTTACCAAAAATCAAAACAAATCTTGATCAAATGTTGAAATATATTTTTTAATATTTGGAGCATGAATTGTGTTGCTTCCTGTTTGCCTTTTTTAATAAGGAAATGTTGGAGAGTTACATCAATGCTAATGTAGAAACGTTGAGTGGAAAAACATACAATATGCTAAAATAAACTAGATTTCACATTCATCTGTGGGTTCTTTTCCCCTCCTTTCTTTCCACAGTACTTTTGATATCAAGCAAGTGGCTTCCTTTTTGAGATATTAAAAAAAAAGGTAAAAAGCAAATGAAGCCCAACTACCTAACCCTTTCTTATTTGTATTTGTTTTAGTATCGTGAAGTTGTGTTAAATAGTACTAGCTTTCTACTTGAGAAATACTGATTTCTGGTTATCATATTTCTCTTCCCTGTGGCACTTGACATTTTAATTGTCTTAAAGTTTTTGGAGTACATCTTCTGGCTCCTCGAGGACTGCCAGAGGCAACAGATGTTTGTTTCTTATTCATTCCACTTGCATTGTCTCCTGGGATCCCTTCTGTAACCTAAAGTGTGGCTGGGAAATGGACTTGAGAAGATTGGCTTGAATTCGATCATAATCATGTGTGGTCCCATCATGAGTTCATTGGAATTTGTGTTGCATGTAAGGCAATCTTTCCTGTTGTAAATCTCCTTTTTTTATGTACATATATTTTGAAAAATATGAATAAACATGAAATTTTAAAAGCTGCTGAGCTATAGCTTATATTTAGAAGTATCTAGTATGTCCTCCAAAGCAGCTAAGTGTTGCCCTCACTTTGAGTATTTTCTTCTTGCAGTGGACACCATCGCTTTCCTTTTTAAATACAGATTCCAGTTTATTTGCCTGTGAATTCTTATATTGATGGTAAATGATGTTTCTAGAAATGCTGAATGCTGTTTAATGAATCAAAGGATAAAACATTTTATATTTTATCAAGGACTGTTTTCAAGATCAGGGAGTCTAGTCTTTTGTGTTCAGTGAATTTTTAATGTTCAGCTAAGTCCTTGGGCTAGAAAAATTGCAGCACTACAAAAGATAACAGGTAAACCTTAGAGGTATCATTCTAGAAAGTAATTCTGATTTTTTTTGGTGCTATTTAGCAAGTAATGTATTTTACCAGTGTGAGTGTTAGGTGCCTATGCTCAGAACTTTCTATGCTTCTGAAATCAAAAGTTGGAGGCCTTTGGTAGGTTTCTTTGTTTTATTTTATAACTTTTAAAAAGATTTACTAGCCGGGCTCGGTGGCTCCCCTGTAATCCCGCACCTTTGGGAGACTGAGGTGAGTGGATTGCCTGAGCCCGCAGGTTTGAGACCTGCCAGGGCAACTTGGCGAAACCTCATCTCTACAATAAATCAAAAACTAGCCGGGCATGGTAGCGCGCGCCTGTAGTTCCAGCTACTTGGAAGGCTGAGGCGGAAGGATCGCCGGAGCCCAGCAGGTGGAGGCTGCGGTGGCCGGGAGCAGCCACTGCACTCCAGTCTGGGTGACAGAGTGAGACTCCAACTCAAAAAAAAAAAAGATTTACTTAAAAACCGGGTGTGGTAGCATGCATCTATAGTTCTAGCTAACTTGGAAGGCTGAGGTGAAAGGATCGCTTGAGCCCAGCAGGTCAAGGCTGTGGTGGCTGTGAGCATGCCATTGCACTCCAGCCTGGGCAACAGAGTGAGACTCCAACTTAGATAGATAGATAGATAGGCAGGCAGGCAGGCAGACAGACAGACTGACTGAATAATCACCTGGGGGCTGGATTGCAATTCAGGCCCTTAAGCAGAGGTTAAGAAGTTTAGATTTTTTCTTTTTTTTTTTTTT